CCAAGCAAGATTCGTCGCCAAGGTACACCACCGCTCGTATTTGTCACCGACGGATAAGCAGAACGAAATTGAAGAGCTGGTCAAAGACGAAGAGTTTCCTGGTGGGAAGACATCTGGTCCAAAAGCGCGCATGGCATTTGAGAGCTCGGTCCTCATCAAGAAACGCAAGTGGCGAGATGAAGAGGAGGATGTCTCGCAGTTTGTTCAGCACAAGAACAAACGTGCGAAGACTAACGGCCACATGGTGAATGGCAATGGCCGTCATATTCTGGCATCAGCATCTGAGGAAGTCACCCTTGGCCCCGATTTGGTCTTGCGCGTGAATTTTGACCGGTGTGCCACGGCTATGCGATCTGACAAGCTGGCGCAGCATGCTCAGCGATACTTGGGCGAGGCGACAGCTCGAGTCTACGAGGCGCTGCTACATGTCATCGAGAAACAGATTGTCAGTTGCAAGCCAATGCAAGGAACAAAGATTGCAGATGTAGAAGATCTTGATGGGACACTGGACGTATGCAAGGCCACGACCATGGACGTTCTAGAGTACCTTGAGGATGATCCCGACGCTTTAGAGTTGCTCGGACTTGATCCCGGGGGCGCAAATGGCACACACGAACGCGAGCCACGTTCGAAAAAGCCTAAGCTTGACGAGGGGCACTCGTCCATTAAATCACGAAACAACACCTTGCACGAAGTCGAAACACATCTCCGTCTTCTCACAGAGCACGAACTCTCCTTCGTCGAGCACATCTCCACCCGAGGACGAGGCGAATACGCCGTTCCATTCAACAGTCTGACCCAAGCACTCCGCGACTTCGAGACCGAGACGATAATCTGTGCGCGGTTCGGCACCGTAGCAGCGCGCATGGTGCGTCTCTTGAAACAAAAAGGCAAGCTAGACGAGAAGCAAATCTGCTCTCTGGCACTCCTCCGCGTGAAAGACGTGCGCTGCGTCCTAGACAACCTCCTCGAAGCAGGCCTCGTCGAATCCCAAGAGATACCCAAGGACGCGACGCGCCAGCCATCGCGCGCGTTGTACCTATGGTACTTCGACCAGCACCGCGCAGAGCAGTTGGTGCTGGACACGTCGTTCACGGCCATGGCGCGGTGTCTGCAGCGGGTGAGGGTGCAGCGCGCCGCTGTGCAAGGGGTCATTGACAAGGCGGAGCGCACGGATGTCGTGGGCCACGAGGATGAGTTCCTCACCAAGGCGGATAAGTTGCATTTGCGCACTTGGCGCGAGCAGGAGGAGAAGTTACTCGCTCAGGTAGCGCGCATTGATGATGGTGTTGCGCTCCTGAGGGACTTTTGAGAAACGTAATATAGTGAGAAGGAGAAAAGCGTATACCGCAGCGAAATGCCAAGGGACACTGAGTCCTCAATTGATTGTACATCAAATGGAGATTTCACGTTGACACTCTTACATTTGTTCAAGTGTCCAATGTGTTTGTGAGAAATACCCGTCTGACTAGACATGCTCCAATGCTCTATGATCCAGCGCTGTGCGCATGATGCTTTTCACAATATGTGATGATAATGACAATGATGATACAATCAACCTTCCGAATCAGACAGAACTAATAACCATTCACGTCCTCAAATTTATCCCGCTTAGGCTTCGTCTTCTTACCCCAAGGCCTGCTCCAACTCCGTCGGGCAGGCTTCTCATCCTCGTCCAGCGCCATCTTGTCCCTCAGCCGTCTTGCAGCCTTGTTCTCATTGACGATATCCCTCAATCGTCTGGCCGGCTTTTCGTCATCCTCGTCGTCAAAGTTTTTCAGCTTTCCCGCCTTGTCTGTCTTGTCCCAGCCACGGTTCCACTGCTTGTTACCCTCGAATTCTTCGTTGACTTCTTCGTCTTCGAGGTCGTCCAGATCGTTTAGATCGATGTCTTCGTCGTCGACGAAGCCGGCAAAGACGTCGTTGACGGGTTCGGCCGCGTCGAGACACTGGCAGTCGCGCAAGGAGCCGCCCGGCCGCCATCCTGACATGATGGAAGGGCAGTAGCGGGCGATGTTCGGGTCGGCGCATTGGAGGAGGCCAGCCCAGAGACGCTCAAGAGCTTTTCCGAAGACTGGATTCGCCATGTGGTCTCTCTTGCCGGCGAGGAATGGGTTGTGATGCACCCAGCTGGAGTCGTCGACGATCCAGGACCGTAACTGGCGATAGACGGCCACTTCAACTCCGCGTATTCGTGCCGCAGATGCGATGAATTGCCCACTGGAGCTCAGAAGCAGACGCTCGCCCGGGTGGCAGGTCTGTCGTCTATTGGCGTGCAAAAAGACGTCACGTACCACACCCGAATTGTCAGTCCAAGACGAATCGGAGCATGTGTCCGAGTCGCATGCGCACGTCGACTCTGAAGCGCTAAGAGGCAACATACCGGTTTCAGAATGAAAGAACTTGGCGATGCGGGCTTTAAGATCGTCTGGGTTCTCCGGACTTGCTTTCAGGAATAGTGTGTGATTGCCTAGAGTTTCCCAGTGAGAAAGAATGTGTGCCAGATAGGTTTCTCCTTCAGCGCCAATATTCTGCGTCAACATTATCGAGGGCGTCTCAAAAGAGGGCATCACAGCTCGCCGGAGCCTCCCCAGGTCGGCTTGGTAGTTCTTGCTGTAAATGAAGATGCGAGCATCGCGAGTATAGATGGCTGGAATGGACATGAGGAGCTCAACGGTCTGTGCAAGCTCACTAGGATGCTCTACAGAACTGCTGATAACAATGTCGAGCTCGGAAGAGGCGTTATAATCCAGATCCAGAACGGGTCGTGGAAACACATCCGAAGGAGGGCCGGGATCAAACAGACTGATCCAAAGGCTTGCTGCCCAGCAGAAAACCGTGACCAACACTAAAAACCTGGTCGGCGCTGATCTCTGCGCGTCTAGATTAGCAAGAGACCTGCGAGTAGGGTGCTTGCGGTCCACGCCATCTTCCTCGTCTTGTGACAAGGTTGGAGAGGCGAGATGACGGTCCCGAGGCATGAGCGTGAAGAGCGGATTCAGCCTCTGAAGAGGGGCGAGCTTCTCGTTACGAAATTGTTCGGAGATAAAACTGAAATTGACATCAAGCAAAGACGCCGCAGCTGCTAGACAACAAACGAGTTGTAGATGGTACATGACTGAAAGCTGAGCACGAGCGGTGTACAGAGCAACAATGCCCGAAGTACACAGAAGTGGCCATATAACGGTGGACTGTTGGAACCCGATCCAGGAGATGCGGTCAAAGCCGCCATTGAAGACAAATATGTTGCCCCCGACGCGGAAAGCGGTTGTGGTAGAAACCAGATTGATCGCAAGAACAATGAGAAGTGGCCGATCGAGAGTGAAAAGCCAGAGCCGCGCTGCATGGGTATCTTCGGTAGCAAAAGCAACAAGGCAAGTGATGACTGTTGTCAAGAGTAAAACGGGAGCGCTGTTCAGCCCGGACCTGAAAGATGCATATTCCGAGTTCACCATGTACCGAATGGATTGGAAAAAACCATAGACGGCAAAAGAAGCAATTCCGTAGAAGAGACCGCCGGCCGTCAGACGATATTCATAGTATAGGAGCAACGCCAAAGAAGTGACCAGTATAAACAAGCGGCGAGCGTGCAGACCCTTGATCGCAGCCCCAGATACAAGCGACGCGACAATAGGGTGAAGGAAGACGGAGAGTGAGAGCATCGACAGTACCGCAGTGCTGCTGAAGTTGAGAATGGCCTGCACGTAGAATGGCAGGGAGACCGCAAACGACAGGATATCGAGCAGGACCAAGCTCACTCGCTTTGCCGTCGAAGGGCGCGAATGGTATGAAGACCTCTCCGCCAACGGGGCATTGACTTGCCGCGGAGGATTCAGAACCCGCCATGCACAGGCGACAGCCAGCTGGAGGATCAGCAGATGCAGCGGATGGTGGCCATGAGGGAGGAGCAGCAACTGCCTGGCGGTGATCAGGCTCAGAGCAGCGGCGAGAGACCAGATCAGGGCGGCGGTGCGCACATCAGCCTGGCTGGCCGTGTAACTCGAGCCATGGAGTGGCGAGCGAGGCGAGATCCTCATGGAGATGGATGTTAGCTGGCGCCGAGTTGCATGAGGGGGGAGCAGGTGCAAGTCCGCCGACGGAGGGGTCGGTCGAGTTAAAGTCGCAGCGGCAAAGGTCCAGTTTGTTTGGGTCTCGTGCCTCAGACCTCGTGCCTCACTCTCGTGCCTGAGGGAGTGGAGTGTGATGACAGGAAGCTAGCGGCAGCATCGGACCCAGCCTCTTCAGCGTGGGATGAGTGGATAGGACATGCTGCTACAGCGTGCCAAGCTGCGTCCCCTGAGCCGCGAGCGCGAGCTCGGAGCAGAGAACGCAGCTGGACGGAAGAGAAACATTGCTGTAAGGATAGGGGATGGTTCGACGGTGAAGGCCACGCAAGCCGGGCGAACGAGCGGCTGGCGGTTGAGGATTGAGTGGTGGTGGTAAGGGAGATGCTGCGGGGCAGGATATTGATTTGCTGACTCCCTATGCCCGTTCTCCAGTCAAAAAGAGCCCAAAAGAGCCCCTCGGTCAGCCCCTGGACCCTCGACCCGCCGCCAAACCGGGCGGGCTGCAGCGGGAGCAGCCGTGTCAATTGGGCGTTCATGCGCGCCGGAGATTTGGACACTTTGTCGAGCCGCCCCTGGTCTTCTTTGAGACCTGGCAGGCTAGCAGCCTGGCAAAGCTTGACATGTGGGATTGCCTGTGTAACGTCTGCAATAAGATCAGCCGCATGCCGGCTCCGCCGATGTGCCGTGTTGCCGCCAATCATCTTGGCAGGGAGCAGCAGGATGATGAGGAGTGTGAGACGGAAAGACGGGGCAGTGAATTACGCGCGCGCCTCTCTCTCTCTCTCTTGAAGCGAACACGGCGAGCCTAAACACCCACAGACTCGTCCGGGGCCCCTCCGCTGCTCCCCACCATCAAAATTTAACCCCTTTCCGTCTCTTCGAAATGCCCATGGGTACTTAGGTTTATCAAGATCCACGAGGTCCTTACCCACCGCCTTCTTAGCTCAGTTGGTAGAGCGCGACACTAGTACTATACAGGCCCCCTGTATACGCGCCATGTCGAGGTCGCCAGTTCGACTCTGTCAGGAGGCATTGGTTCTTCTTTTTGTGTTGTCGTGCTCTGCAGTCCATTGACTTCAGTCCGCCACCCTCCGCTTTTGACAATTTTTGAGTGTTTGATGGCTGTCTCTTTTGTCCTTTTTGAGTGCCGTAACGCTCCCCATATAGCCTTCGTGTTGGCGCCCTTGTAAGTGCGAGGTAGTCCAGTAAGCCTCTTTTTCCTATATCATAAACAATACTGTCGACTTGTTTCTGTGTCCGGCGATGGAAAGCGGCAGATGTCTTGTTGGCATGCTACTCACAGCTTCGCCATTGTTTGCTTCCTCGGTCCCATATAGCCAAACAGATACCCAGCAACTTTCCTCATCTGAATCTCCTCGCTTCCCTCAGTAATCCGGTATCGACGATGGTGTCTCCAGATATGCTCGAACGGCATATGGCGACTATACCCCCAGCCACCATGCACCTGGATCGCCCTATCGGCCGCTTCGCAGCAGAGCCGGTTTGCCCAGTAATTGCACATGCTGACCTTGTCGCCGAGCTTCGACTCGATCTCGCGATGCGGCATTCGGTCCATCTCCCACGCCGTCTTGCGGATCAGCAATCGCAGCATCTCGCATTGCGTCGCCAGCTCGACCAGCGGGAACTGGATGCCTTGGTTCTCTGCGAGTGCCTTGCCGAACGGTTTACGTCGACGGGCGTATTTGACGCTCTCGTTGACGCAGAACACCGCTGCACCGAGACTGCTGGCTGCTTGACGGATGCGGTTCTCGTGCACAAAGGCCTGAGCCACGGCCAGTCCAGCTCCTACCTCTCCTAGCACAGCCGAGTCGTCGACCCAGACTCCCTCGAATGCCACAGTAGCATGGTCCGTCGGCATATTCAGCGTCCACTGATAGCTTTCGACCTTTATCCCTGGTGTCTGCCTCGGAACCACGAAGCACGTAATCCCCTTTGCATCGCCGTCCTTCCCACTCGTCCTAGCAAACACAAAGCAATGCGTAGCCCTATGCATGCCCGTCTGCCACATCTTGCGCCCATCAATCCTCCAACCCTCCCTCCCGTCCCTTTTCTCTTTGACACCCCTAGTCTCCATCCACGTAGCATCACTCCCATGTCCCTCCTCCGTGAGTCCAAACGTAATCCTGACCTTCCCCTCAATCCGTCCCCAAACCAACTCCTTCTTCTGCCTCTCGGTCCCAAACCCAAGCACCATAACAGCATCCGGCCAATTCCCGACAACGCTGAACTCATTCTGCAAATCATTAAACAGCCCCAACCTCTTCGAGGCCAGATGCTCCCTCACAACCGCCATGCCCAAATTCCCCAGCTCCCTCCCACCATACTCGCGAGGCAGCGCCAGCCTCAAGAACCCAGCTTCATCCGCAGCGCGCGCCGCCGTAGACAGTAAAGCTTCCCATTCTTCGCGCGGCAGGCCGCCCGCGGCCCAGTTCGTCCGCGCGTCTTCGCGCCGGTGGTCGAAGAAGCGCTCGTTGTCGTCGCGGCGCTGCAGTGGGGCTATAGTGCTGCTTATGAAGGCGTCGAGGGAGGTGAGGAGGGATACGAGGTCCGCGGGGAGGGAGAAGTCCATTCTGTTTTGCGAAAGGCGTGGTCTGGTCAGGAACGGGAGGAGATGGAGGTGCGGTGGAGAGACATGCTCTGCTCTTGGGTTTGTTGAGGGTGGTTTGATTTGGATGTTTGATGGAGGTAGACAGGAATACCCCGCACTGTATGGAGGGTGGTGCGGGGAAAGGTATCCAGACCCCCGACAGACCGAGGTGTGGCAGCTTTCACAACAGCATCGTCGTACTTCACACACACACAATGCCCGGTACAACAGACTGGATCGTCTTTCATTAAGGCGCTATATCAGCCAGACCATAAGTCGTCTCTGGTCTACCAAAGCTGCGGCCGTGGTGGGCTCTTGAATCTTCACGAGCCATAGATATACATGCTTTTGCGGTCCATCCACTGTGGGACTTCATCCGCCGCTTCAGCGCCTGCCTTGACGACGGCGCTCGCGGTCCTCCTGATCCTTCTTGAGACGCTTGCGACCTTCGTCAGCGACCATATCGCCAAAGTCGTCGCCGTTGCCTCCACGGCCGCCCTTCCATCCACTCTCTGACTGTCGACTCTCCTCATAGCGTCGCTCCATCTCGCGCTTGCTGAGGCCTTCTCCGCTGGCCAGGGCATCCGCATCAACAGCGACGTCCACATCGCCTGCCTTACGTTTCTGCCCACGGTCGCGATCATTGCTGTCCAGTGCCGGTCCGCCTCTGTTTGCTCCAGAGATGTCGTACGCCCTTTCGCCGCCAAAGAAGCCCCTGGCCTGGATGTTGCGTTCTTGCAACACGGTGCCCGCCTGTCTTCGCTCGCCCGACGTTGCCGGTGCTGGTAGTTCGGAGTCCGTCCCACGTCCACCACGCTTGATATCCTTTCTTAGCGTGAACTCGCCGGCGATGCTCTCCATGCCGCCAATCTCCGTTGGCACACTACTCTGCATCCCAGATTGGTCGTACGCTCGGTCGCGTCGATCGCGTGCGCCATTTTTGTTGGCTTCCTCCGCCTCGTCAGAGTCGACGCCAGCTCCTTCTTCGTCCTCCTCGTCTTCGTCTTCTTCCTCTTCTTCTTCCTCCTCGCGGACCTGAAGCTCACCCCAACGTGAACGGTCGATTGGCGCGCTCTCGACCGGCGCAGCTGTCGACTCTAGCGTGCCAAGAACGTCGCCCCCAAATAGTGGACGATTGTACTGATCCACGGGTGGACGGCCCCATTGCCCATGATCGAATCCCCAAGACGCTCCAGGAGGCAGTGGCGCATTGACTCCAGGGATCTTGAGCGTGGGATAGGCTTTTGGTGGGCCGAATCGCTGCATGTTCATCAGCCAAGGTGGTGATTGTCCCGGTGCCATTGCCAGAGCTTGACGAAGGTCGTCCGAGATCTCGCCCGGACGAAGATGGCGTAAGTTGGTCTCGTACTCTTTGCCTTCGTAGTACACTTCTCCATAGCGAGTCAATTCGGGCTTGGTCTGGTGCTTGAAAAATGCCTCATATAACTTCTGATAGTCGATGTCGAGCTTTCCGGTCTTGGGCGCTACGCGGTCGCGCTGCTTCTGCTTCAATGACTTGTCCGCCTCCTTCTCGAGCACGGCGTCACGCATCTCACCGATGCCTGTAGCAGCGATGAATTTCGGGAGTGTCCAGTGAGCTTTCTGAATACCGCGTTTCGAGGACAGATATTCACGCTTTAGAGACCAGTGATTCGGAACGGGGACGACATTGCGCGCCGCTTTGATAGATATGAGGAGTCGAGGGTCTGGTGCCGATGTATCTGTCCACTCCACCAACTCGGGCTTCTTCACCAGTGCCTTAAGCTCGGCAACCGTCAACTTCGTCATGGCTTTGCGCTTTTTCTTGGACATTTTGGTCTCCGTCACGTCCTCCTCGTCTGGGATCTCATCGTTGTCGTCATCGTAGAATACTTCCGGCTTGGCTGACTCCTGTGCGCTGGAATCCGTTCGCTTCCCGTCCCTGAAAACCGCAAATATGTCCATGTACTGCGCCATAAGAGGGTCGTCATGGTTGCCAAAATCTTCGTATTTGACATCATCGTCGTTCGCCTCGTCTTTCATATCCGTATCCTCTGCGGGCTTAGGCTGCTCTTCATTCGACTGTGGGAGCTCCGCGACACCATTGCTCGTTGCAGTGGTTTCGTTGGGCTGTTGTGAAGGAGCAAATTGGGCGTTGGTCTCTTTGAGTGCCTTTTTCTTCGCGCGACGAAAGGCATTCTTGCTGAGCTTTGCAGATTTGGGAGCTTCGGCACCATTCGCGCCATTCGCTGCGACCGCCGACATGGTGTCGGATGCCTTTCGCAGTCTACGAGTTGTGGCGCATGTGGGACAGATAGGTTCTGGGTGCGAAGGGAAGAAAGGGCACAAACCTTTGAATGACGATAGCGCCTTGAAGTCGCTGCCAGTCTTGACTTGTTGGAGAAGGCTAGATTGCGTTGTTTCGTGACTAGAGGCGAGTAGGCCTGAATGCTGGATGGGGTTCTGGTAGAACAGACAGATGCGAAGTTTCGAAGTGCAGGCTTGATGCCTTGAGCTTCACTTCCTCTCCGCGTGCCAAGAACGGCCCGCTGTACCCTGCACGCTGCACGCTACCAGTTGCAGGTTAATTCGAAGCCTCACGTATTATTAAAACAAGGGAAAATATAGCGTGGCACGTATTGCTCAGCACGTAGCGCAGACTTGATTTTCATTGCAAGTGAAGAAACTATCGACGATGTTGTTACATCTCATGAATTCTTTGGACCTCGCCACCTATTGTGACAGAAGTTTTCATATCATCTCGTCTCGACGTGCTCTCGGGATAGCTGCATGTCCGAAAATGTGTGATTCCCGGACTGAGCGGTCCGATGATGTGTAAAATTACAAGTGATTGATCGTCGTTCTGTATCCTTCCTCTAGCTCGAGAGCTCAAGAAGTCCCAGAACGTGACATTGGTCCGAATCGGCTTGGAACGACATCCAGAAAGGAAAACTATCTATCTGCAAACGGAGCTGCTTCCGTTCGTGCTCGAATCCAGCTCAAGCAGACTTGGGAGGACTAGGTTGCATGGATTTCGATTTGCGTAAATGTGTGATGATCAACCCGCTTCGGACAGCAGCCGAGAGCTCCAGTGTATGAAGTGCTTTCATCGAAAAACGCGCCCGAAACTTTGTCGATATCATCGACCATGGCCAGATCTCCGGAAGCGGGAATTGTGAAGTGCTGATGAAGACGAAGATCCGTGAAGTATTAGTGCAATGCAGACGAAATAAGGGAAAGTGCTGGAGTTGTGGACAGGGATGCTCGTCTTCGGCGGTTAGAAGAAATTCATGCCATTGGGTCCACCGCGGCCCATGGCAGGATATCCATGCATACGTCCCTGCCCGTTGGCAAAGCCGTAACCCCCAGCATGATGAGGGTTGGGGTGATGTCCATAAGTGAAGGGAGCGGGTCCGAGAGTATTGCCACCAAATCCGGGGGGGCC